AGGTGGATGGTGGTGAGTCGGTATGAAACTGCTTGAGAGCGGCTTCAATTTCGACCTTCAGTGCCAGTGGGGCGGCCAAGCGCAGGATCTCGCGAGTGCCGAGGTTTCCAATGGCAGGGCCTTCGACCAGAGGAGCGTCGATGGCCGTTTCGATGTCAGCGCGCATGCTGTCGGTGAGGAGCAATTCATCACCCTCGAAAGGAATGGTGAAGTCACTCATCGGCGGAATGCGCAAGATATCGTTTTGACCGCTAACCAGCAGGGCCAAAGCGTGCGCGTAGAAAGGGTCACGAGCAAAAAGCCCGAGCAGTTTTTGTTGAATTGGCATGGGATGTCCGTGAAGACGTTGATGTTGAGTAGTTCATGCGAATGAACACACTCCAGGCTGGTAAAGGTCCAGCTGACCTTGAAGCTTTCGCTTGCAAGCCCCGATATTACTCCAAGTTCGGTGGTCCGGGAAGGCCCCCCAACGGGGAGCATCCGACCGAACTTCTAACTGTCGCTATTCCCGCGTTTTGAGCTACAGATCGATGCCATAGGCTGCAGCCATGTCTTTGAGCGGGGTGTCGTAGCGCATGAACGGGACCTCGACCGACACAGGTTTGGCGCCGGGGGGCTGCTTTGGCCAGCTGCCGGTATCCAGACAACGCCGAATCATTCGCAGGCAGTACCTGCGGTGCCTCTCCCCATGGGCCAGCGCGTCGTCCGTCATCACAAAGGTCCGCGACACGTGTGGCTCTTCTTTTTCAACCGCAAAAAAGCCAAATCTTGCCTGTACCCCATACACAGCTTTAACTCCGGCAAGATAGTGCGCCGCCTGGACGTCATAGTGAAATTTGAATATGTCATGAAGGAAATCGTCAACGGTCACCGAACGCGCTGACTTCAAATCCCCCACGAGCGGCCTGTCACCCAGAGAAAATGCGTCGGGACGGGCCTTGCACTGAAGACCCGTATCCTCGTCGACCCAGAACAGGCTTTGCTCCTTTGTCGCAGGAGCAAGGTCTTCGCGAGAACTGTCACCTTTGACGCCAGCCAGCCACGCCGCCAGCGGGAAATCAGACATCTCAAGAAGTGCCGCTGACATTCCTTCAACGCATGTCATTTGGGCTTCTGTGATGATTGTCTTTTCCGCATTTTCCATCGCGAAAAGCGCCCATTCAGTCCCCTGTCGGCGGCCTTCATTCCAGATCGCAAACTCGGTATCCAGCAGATGGGGCTCAAGTACGTGGGTGTGCAGCATCCGTCCCATCCGCAATGCATCGGTTTCAATCATGGGACGGCGCAATTTGAGCTGATAGACGGCGGGCGAGACCAGCATGTGTTTCATCCGGGATGAGGAGATGCCAGGCGATTCTTTGTGATATTCAGCCGCATTCATCTCACACGCAAAAGAATTGGGTGAGACGCCGGGGACACGAAGACTTTTAGTTCCTGGGATTTGTGGTGTCCGAGGATCTGCTGTGCTCCCCTGCTCTGCAAGTTGTCCGCGCAACACACTGGATAGGCCGTTTATGAGCTGTGCTGTGGAAGCAGACGCCGTGTGGGTCTGTGTTGGGCTTTGTGGCGTGGGAGCAGCTCCTTGGAGAAATCCAAGGTCAAGAGAGTTATTCACGTTCTGTTCCAGTTCGAGTAGTAGTCATGGAGCTAGGTTCTCATATTGCTGTTGAAAATCAAGCTAAGACATGTCACTCGAAATCAGGAAGCTAAGGCCTCTTGTCACTCAAGCAAAACGTTTTGAAGTCGGCATCATGACGTCATGCAATTCATTCAACACCCAGAAACTCAGGAATTCAGACTCGATACCGCATACCGGGGCGCCATGTTCGCCTGGCCAGTTTTATTGAACCCAACGCGGGTTGCGACGCGCGACTGGTCCCTTAATCAACTCGGTATCGACGAACTCGGGCAATGCCTAACCGACAACCGCTTCATGTCCCATGACGGCCAGGAGGTCACTTTTTTGGCAAGTGCCGTTGATGCGAGCTTTGTAAGTAGTGCGCGCGCCAATGAAGTAGACGTGATGCGGATGCTGGTCAGCCTTCAGCATTCCTTGCCGTCGGTCTACCTGCCACACGATATCTTCCGTATCAACCACTTTGACGTCGGCGGCGGTGGCCTGGTTTTCATCGTCGGAGTGATTTACAGGAAACCCCGAGACAACCGCGCGCTGTTTTTGCCAGATGCTGATGAATTCCTTGTGAGCAAAGAACGGCTTTCAATGGAAATTGCGCTCAGCAACGGCGATCAGCACTACCGCCATCAGATCCTGCCAGCATTCCCGCTCTCACAGGCAGTCGCCGAGGGACTGCGTATGGGTGTGCGGTGTTGGAGCAGCATGTACGAGGAGCCATTGAAGTGTGAATTTGACCTGGAGCGAAATGGCGACATGACCTTTGCCCTGAGTGTGGAAGAAGGCAACGCCGTATATCTCCGCATTGGTCAGGGTGCGATCAGTACAGGGGATATGACGCGCATCCAGGACGCCTTTATTCACAGCTCCATGACCAGCTCCTCGCAACTGAGCGCATACAAACATTGATCTCAGATTTAGATACTTGAATTTCCAACGTTCTATGTAACTCTAGACCTGTCGTTACCAATTTATCGGAGAAATACATGAATGATCACAACCTTGAAACCCCACCACAGCAGGCCGCTCAAGGTGAAACGCTGTCAGGTCAGAACAACTCTGACGAAGGCACTTCACTACCCGGCCTGCTCGCCGGCCTGACATATCAAACGCCGGTCATCGGGACCATCAGGATTGGTGGCATCACCGAGGAAAGCGGCAAGCGTTTGCCCTTTACCGATGACAAATTTTCTATCCATACCCGCTACCGGGATGGAAACGGTGACTGGGTGCCTCACGCGGTACAGCAAACGCTGCAGTCCGACGCAGCCAATACGGCCAACGACCGATTGAATACCATCCCGGTTCGAATCGTTTACGACAATCCAAACCTTAATCTCGGCGAGCAATACGCTGCCTTCACCCATGACGGCCGTCCGGCGTGTGTGGGCAATGGTCTGAAGGCCAAGCGGGTAGTCAACGGTAAGGTTGAGTGTGTCGACTGCCCCGGTTCTACGGCCTGCTCTTACGGTTCTGAAAGTGAGCATCGGTGCGACGTCTTCGCTCGTGCTCTCTTTCATATCGAAGGCCAGAACGAATCGGAAGGAGCTTTCATTTTTCGCACAAGCTCCTACAACTCGGTCAATGACATGCGCGTTCGCCTGCAGTCCCTTCATGCCGGTTTCGGTGGCAAGCTCTCAGGCCTGCCAATGAAGCTGGTGTTGCGCCTGAAAAGCACCGCCCAGTCCTACAAGCAGAATTTCTACTACGTTTCCCTGGAGCCTCGTTTTTCGGGATTCAGGGAAGGCATGGAGAAGATCAAGGAGCGTGAAGCTGCTGAAAAAGAATGTGGTTTCAACCGCATGGCGTTTGAGTCCTCCATGGCCAAACTCCTTGCCAACGGATCCTTCTCTGAAAATGTTGAAGACACTGGTGAATACGAAGAACTGATTGCAGGGCGATCTGAAACGCGTCGGGCACAACCGGTGGCCGGCGATGCATCTTCACCTGTAACTGCTGCGGTAGCGTCCGTTGAGGGCCTGGCCAGCCTGTACGGCCCTGCCACGAATTCCTCCAGGGATGGGGCCAAAGCCGCTTGACCATCGGGCGGTATGACCTCTTTGGCAGTCCTTGAGACTGCTTTTTTTTGGCATTTTTGGCAGTTGCTTCCGCCCAGATCCTGAATTTCCGGGCTGTTGGGCAGCGTTTACAGCGTAATTTGCCAATTTGGGGCATTTATCTGGAAAAGATTTGACGAAATTGTCCGTACCGTGGTGCTATGGAAATCCGTCTATCTGGCACGACGGTCAATACTTCAGCGGTGCTGGGGAATATTGACGCCTTTGCTTCGCACCTAGCCCAAGCCAAGGTCGCGCCAGGTCACGCCCTTTGCCTTTGCACAGCACCACCTCGAAAATTGGTCATACGGGCTGTCAGGACCAGACTCTTTTTGGCAGTCTGGCCCCACGATGGCCATAACCATCATTACGCTTGCCCGTTTTACCGTGAAGAGGAAGACGCCGCAAGCGTATCGATCGGCGCGCTCCCGGCCGTTAAGGAAACAGCAGACGGCTTTGAAATAGCCACGGACTTCCAGCTAGAACGCATTCGGAGCCAACCGGGGGCGACATCCCTGGTCGAGCATGAGAGTGTCCAGGAGGCTATCTCGAAAGGGCAAAGGCCATCCCGTACACGAATGGGGCTGCTTGGCATCGTTCAGCACTTATGGAAAGAGAGCAACCTGAACACTTGGGGCTCAAACTGGAGGCGTGACTGGTGGAGGGTGACTCAGGCATTGTTACCGGTCATTGAACAGGGCAAGCTTGGCCGCCGCGAAATGCGTGAGTGTCTGTATCTGGTGCCAGAACTGAACTCTGGCCGGCAGCGGGCGATTGAAGCAGCCTGGGCCAGATTCAAGGATTCCCTGATGCCCAGCGATTGTGCAACCCCCCTTGGGGTTATTTTGGGGGAGGCGATGCGGATTGAACAGTCGCGGTTTGGGTATCGCCTGACGTTGCGCCACTTTTCACCATTTTTATACATGACGGAGGATCTTCGAAACAAACTGGCCACGTCGTTTCCCAAGGGGTATCACCGCATCGGCAATCGTGATCAGCAACGTGTGATCGCTATATGCTTGGTTGAGTTGACCGCCAACGGAAACATTTCGGTAACAGACGCGGCGCTGATGCCAACATCGAGGCACTTCATCCCCATCGACTCAAGCTACGAGGCAACGCTCGCGGACTTGCTTGTCGAGAAGAAGCGCAGTTTTATCAAACCACTCAGCGTGCGAACCGGCGAAAGCACGTTGCCGGATTTCATTTTGACCGACACACGGCCAGAGTACGTCCTGGAGGTGTTCGGCATGAACACGCACGAATATATTGAGCGGAAAATCGCCAAGAAGGCCATCTACAAAGCGGAAGGAAAACCGGTTTGGTCATGGGAGCCTGAAATTACCCATACGCCGCCTCCACTGCCAAGCGCTTCGGAAGTAAAGCATCGGCCTCAACTTGCTCACAATGGACTCCAGGGTGAAGGCCCATGAGTCAGTACTCCCGACTCACAACAAGCGCGAAGACCCAGCAGCCATGCTTTGGGAGTTATGGGGTTCCTTTCGAAGTAGATGTCGCGGTAACTTCACTGATCGAGAAAACCCGGGAAGGATGTCCGCCGTCAAGCAGGGCGATGCGTAGAAGTGCCGAACAAATCGCACTGAATTTTCCAACCTTTTTGTGCGCTCAGTATGCGCTGGCCTCAGTTATCCTGAACAGCCCAGGACCCTATGCAGCTGCAAGTGTTGCATTGAACAGGGCCTGGTCCATCGGAACCACTGCCTTGATGGAAAAAAGGGTTGTGGATGTCCACTACAGCGCATCTCAAGGAAATGCGTCCTTTCTCAATGCCGGCGCCGGACTAGCCAAACAAAAGGTGTTGCAGTCGGATCTGATCGGAGCACTTACGCTTGTCAATCGTGTAATCCGGCTGGATGTGGAAGATGCGAGTGACGGTAGGTTTGTGAAGGCCCATATCGAACAGCTTATGGGCGACAAGACGGCAGCGACATCATTGGCTAAGGTGGCTTCCAGTCATGATCCGAAAGCCTTTTATGCCCTAGGCCTTGAATATCTCAGGGTACACAGAGCGCAAGATGCCGCCTTGTCATTTCGGGAAGGCATTGAAGGTGCGCCTGAAGTAGCAGAAATTCTGCTCGGGCTAGACCATTCCCACAAGGGTAAAAAAAGCCGCAGCCCCCTATCTGCCCAGCAGTATGTGGAGACCTTTTGCCTGCCTGAGTGGACGTCCACAGAATTGGCCGCACTGGGCAAGGTTGCGACTCTGACACTTGGGTCCAGAACGTGATTCATCTGATTCCCGGCTTCCAACGTCAGCCTACAGTGGCTGCTTTTCAGCCGATGGACCCCTTGGGGTTGATGAACCGGCGAGGCTTCTTGCAAGCTGCGTTCGGCGCAGCGGCTAGCGCT